TTACTTGTTTTCTTTTATCTTCTTAACCATATTTTAAATCAAACTTTGTTTGACAAAAATTTATTAGAAGTAATAATCTTGGTTTGATATTTTTACTACAGATAGATTATAAGACAATCAGTATTAAATATAACATATATACATTACAATATATATCTATCAAAATATAAATTAATCAAAAGTGTTTATATATGATTGTATATATGATTATATATAATTGGCTATAGAAAATTCACTGAGAAACTCTTTATTTAATATCTTTGTTCAGCATATAGATATAATAACGGTCTAATCCGTATTCTCCTCCAATTGATTGCCACGAGTTTTTCCGAATTGAGCAGAGAAATAATTTTCTCTCATTATACTCTCGTCGCGATGTCAATCATTTGACCCTCGTCGCCGCAGTACCTAATCGTATAATCCGCTCCAACAAATCAATTCGGGGTTCTGACAAAAGCACCACTTCACTCTCGCTATAGCTTCTGCCTGGCAACTATGTTGATTACGAATATATAGAATTTTGCACGAGTTTTACTCGAATCATTTGGCATAATATATTTTGATGCGAGACAACATCAAAGTTTGATTTTAGTCCATGATGATTTTGCGCATATTTGTCAAATATTAATTGCAAGAATTATTCGCGAACTTAAAATAATTTGTACTTGAAACCGTCTTAGCGTTACATAATAATGTAAAAAAAGACAAAGAGAAAAATAAATAATGTATTAAAAGTAAAATAGTGTAACATGTCTGTAGTATGAAATGAAGACAATACTCCGTTGTGAACTTGTAGGTTTATATTAAATTATATTATCCAGATAACAGATTTATATTTTAAATCATCACATTCTAATTATATTCTCTCTTATAGTTTATTTCAATTATATTTGTAATGAATAAGAAATGCAATTTGTGTAAGATGCTCTTAGATAGAGCGCTTATTAGATTTTTGATAAATCAGATATAAAAATTCATTTAACATAATATACTGTATATAGTTATAGAGTTTATAATTTTTATACATTAAAATTTTTTTCTTATTTTGTGTAATAATCTCTTAATTAAACACAATATCACAATATTATATAAATTAAAAATAAAAAATTATCTAATGTACATTTAGATGTTTAATTTTACACGACCGACTACATTCAATTTTGAATTAATGGTTTGGCATTACAAACGATATCGATCTACTCCCAGTGAAGACATGCGCGCTGCTAACGGGGTAGGTAACTATGGTTCGTCATCCCATAAACTTGTCGGCATTGTTTCAAGGCAGCGTACATACGGTCGGCTATCAATCGGCCTTTTCGCGCGAGGCACTCACCTCATAAATTCTCACCCTTTGACACGTGCCCGATACGAACCCCTAGACCCGGCGGGGATCAGGGACAGCTATGGCGCTGCGCGTCGGCGCGACAGTGGCAAACCCCGTTGGCGTAGAAGCTTTACCCCTCGGGACCTGCGGGACGTTAATGAAATAACACGGGAATTAGTCTCGGACATTACCGACAAACTATGTCCATTACCACATCCCGCGAAAGTATAGCACCCCACGAAAGCTGAACTTTGAGGGTTTGTTGCAACAGGACAAATTGGGAAAGGCTTAAAAAATCAAAGTAAACTGTAGTTTCTTTTATGTCGTATGTGTGCAATTACATTTGCGTAAAATTTGTTATATTTTTCCATCAAAATTATACATATTATGTTGAATACTGTAAATTTTTTAAATAAACAGGCTCGTAAGATTGCGAAGCAATGTTACAACGTTCAATGGCCTATAATGAGTAATAACAAGTAATTAATATTCATTTAATATTTATTGTCATAACCATACAATAATAAAGATTTTTTAATTTACTTAGTCTTTCTTAATACAATGGTTCGTAATACAATTACATCATTCTGTTTATCTAAACATTATTAATTAACGACTCATGGAAATTAATACAGTCAATTTGTGAATAATTTTCAAACGCATGATTTGCATCTATTTTTAACATATAACAGTAAACCTTGATAAACGCAGTTTTTTTTTTTTATAAAACTCGTGTTATGGTATTGTTAGACACTACCATAATCATCAGAGTAGGATATAACAATATTTATTATTGTTTGGTCGATTAGCATCACAATATTAATTGTAAAATAATATAAGTATTGTTATACATTTGAATTTTTTTCATCTCATGAAGATTAAGAAAACAAATATACGCACTATTATATGTATATGTACAATATATTTAAATATGTGTATATATATATATATATATATATAGTATGCATGTTGTTGCTAAGCTTTTAAGCGAACGTGTGTAAGTCGCTCAAATTGGTACGGATTTCCAGCCTAACACCTCGATTGTCTTCCCTAAAGAGTACTTCGCAGGCACATACGTGAAATCATGCCTTGAACACACGTTCGTCGTTGTTGCCCCTCTTCCCTTCATCTTGCCGCAATACGCTCTCTCTGTCTTTCTTTTTTTTGATCTCACTTTTTTGCTCTCGTAGTTTCATCGTATAATTGTCTTTCTTTCTCCTATCTACAAAATTCTTTCCTTGTTGATCCCTACTTTGCTCACGCATATACCACCCTTTCTCTTATTCGTTCATCCCTTCGTTACTCATGCATTTCATTCCCTTCCTCTATTCCCCTTTTAGTTTCTTCTCTTTTTAATGTACCAACCTCTCTCTCTCTCTCTGTCGTATGTCGTGTCTACTCTTGCATTTATTCGTTCTTTAGCTGTGTGGTACTCTGTTTTTTCCTTTTTTTCTTATTATTCTTACCATATAAATTTTCTTTCTTTAGTTAGCATTTCTTTCTATTAATTTAATTTTAGACTTTATGTAGATATTCTCTTATTCATTCTCCTTTCTCTTGTTTGATTTTTTACAAAATTATCTTCTTGTTTCTTTATTTCTATTGTTCTTATATATTTATTTAAGTCAGATTATTATGAATAGCTTATTTATACAAATATTTTTTAATTGTTTTTATTTTTATATTCTTAATTCAAAGATATATGAATATAATTCTGTAACTTTACTGATAATTATCTAATTTTTAATCAAATAATCATTCTCTCTCTCTCTTAATTATTAAAATTTTTTAAACTCGTATTATAAATAGCAAGCGAGATATACTAGAGCAAATGTAAATATAAGAACAGAAAAAATTCGATTCTTTCGAGGGAAATCGCATGTCAAGTTATCGAGAAGATACGCTCGAGCTGTGTGTTGAATGGGCCGACGTGTCCCGCAGCCGTCCGCGTGCACGCCTTCGACCGTAAAAGAGACCCGTAGAGGACTCCTTTCAAGAAGTAACCGCAAATCCTAGTATAATACTAATAGGGCCATAATAGGGTCAATAGGGCTTAGCCGTGCGACGACAATAAGATCTTGTCAAAATACGTCGGGTAACACGAGCCTAGGAAACGGATTTTTCTCAATGGGGGTCTGTCTGTCCCCCTCTACTACATCAACTGGTACGACGCGATGCGCATTATGAGGTTTTCAAAAAATCTGAAACCTTCCACCCGTGTGCGCGATTGAGGTTTAAATTTCATCACGTTTGGTAGTCGTGAAAAGAAGACGGATAGGAAAAACCGAAGAATGCCATATCAGTCTAACTCAATTGGGACTTCAAATGAACAGTTTCACACACGATATATATGGCATTTACACTGAATGCTAGCTCAATTTCCGACAGTTTTCTCTAGAAATGGAATAGTTTTTATGTAATCAGTATTATTACAAGGAGCAAAATATAAGTATATGCACCATATTTTTTCTCAATCAACAATAAAGATATTATAGAAAAGTAAAATTTTACATGTTACTAACTTCAAGTTTGCAGCATGTAAAATTTCACTTTTTTGTCTTTGTTATTGACCGAGAGAAAATATGTTGTATTATTTGTTTTATGAACTTTGTGTGTGTATCAAGGTTCAGAATTACATCTCTAAATATGTAATGTTAAAAAGTTAGAATAATCAGAGTGTTTAATAAACACAAGACAATTATTTCTTCGCGCGCACGAACAAAAATATCATTATATAAGATTTCCTTAGAAGAAACGTACCTACTGCTTTTCATAAAACGAATTAGGCTTGTTTAATCTTCTCTCAACGGGCCGTACTTTTCTGGATTAATTTATCAAACAAACGTGCAAACCTGGGTCAAGCTTGGCGTCCCTATTTTAAGACGCCAACTCGTTAAAGTCATTTGAGGGTGCAGTTCCGCCACCATCATTGGTAACCTTCCCTCCGTGAAAACGCGAAGTCTATCTTGCATCCACCAACAAGCCCCAACTTTCTTAGAAGGCAAATCTTTTCCAACCCCTGTTTTTCGCCACCCTAACATCTACGTCGTGCATGGTGGAATGACTTTATCAGAACATGGCTACGCTGTGAAATGTCTTAATATACAATTTCTTACTTTAAAAATGTTTTTGCAAAATTGAAAATCCGTTTTTTTATTATACATAGCAAATTTGAAAAAGTAATTAATAATTAAATATTAATTATAATATGTACTTAAATAGCAAGCATATAGTAAATATAAAAGAATACGTGATTGACAATTTCAAACAACTGTATAGTTTAATCTGCAATAATCATTTTATATATATAGTTTTGATGAAGTAAAAATAGTAGTTTATACGTTACAGTTACATTGAATTATTTATTAATAAAGATCATTGAAAGTGATGTATTTGCAATTGAGCGGAAATAACTTGAAAAGATTTTTCTCTTTTCCTTGGATCGGATAAGATATTTTTAATGTTCGTTGGTTTAGATTTTGAATTAATTAATTTAAATACTAGCACTTATACTTATATTTATAAATAAAGATGATTTATTAAACTTATTATTTGCAAACTTAAACTTATAGTGAAATGTATTAATTAGTAATATAAAAACTATTTCAATTAATTGATTAATTATTAATTATTATTTTTATTGATAATTTAATTAATATTTGTTTCTTTGTTTTAGGATTTTCGCAATCAAAAGGGTCATTCTCCAATACAAGTCCAGGTGAGATTTTTATAAAATTATAATATTTTTAACATATCAATAATATTATGCTACAACATTTTTATGCTCAATACGGTGTATTTACGTGTTTTTCTAATACGCAAACGAAAATTCATTACTCTTTTATCGAGACGATAAGCGACTACCAAAATCATAATTACATGTAATATATGTATAATCGAATGAATTTATGATGTTTCTCGAATGCGAACACTATAAAATTGGTCATATTAATAATATGTTAATCAATAAATGAAAGTAACGTTTGGAGCTAATGTATTTTGTTTATGAATGTAAAACTAAACTTGTTACAAATGATACAAATTTGTATTAAACTATTATTTACATTAATAGTACAAGACGATTATGTTGTATAAAAAATCAAGTGTACTGAAATAAAAATTAGAATTCTCTTTTGAACTCCCCATGTGCCATCTTTAAATTAGAGTTCTCATTATATTGCAAATTATAACAAATTACAATTTTGTTAGTTAATCATAAATATTATTAACAAACATGATATTTGAAATTTTATATAACAATGAGTTCTACAGATGCCATGACCATTATCGCCATATGATGACATCATGTGCACATCGACAAAAAAACTGCTTACGTATTCATGTGCGCGATGATTTCGATTTTTCCAAGCCATTAAGCGCGATCCGTTTAGCCCGCAAAGTGATGTTACTCGAAACAAGAAACGACAAGTTAAAAATGATTACTGAGGATGAGTTTCGTATCTAATGGGGATAAGTTTCTGTATTACTTGCTGCAAATTTATTGTTACCATTATATATCTATCAATTATCGTTAATAATTTTTGAGAATGTTTTTGTAAGATATGTCATTAATAGTGCTATTTTTTAAATATCAAATTAATTAGATATGCATTAATTTGAAACGAATCATTATTTGTCTGCCAATAAAACTTTTTAATGGTTAGTAACAATTACTTTTTAAAAATAACATTGTTTAAACTTTTGTGCATTTAGTAGATATAATTATTTGTGATTTTGATAAAAACGGCTTAAAAGTAATTTTCTTTTACTATTAATCTTTGACTAATTTAAGTGTTAACACAGAAATAAAATATACAGATAATGTTATTACATATACGACGTGTTCCGAAATTCGCAAAACGAAATACTATCAGTAAAATTTTTTAAAAATTAAATAAAAAAGCTGTGTATATATTTTAGTTTTAAGCGTAAGTAAGTTTATGTAATAATAAGAATTTGAATATAGTCAATACGGACTACATTTAGACAGATTACGTTTAATCACTGAAATGTGTATTTACTAATACTATCGCACGAGTGATTCATGGACAAATGACTTAATAATATAATCTCTCTGTAATTGGCTAAATTTAAACTCTATATTTCAAAAACTACTACTTGAAATAAAAATGTACACATAATTTTTTTATTTAATTTTTTTAATTATTGATCTAAAGCAAATTAAATGAGGAAATTTACTTCAATAAAACATATATTGTTTTTAATTTAAATTAAATAAAAAACATTATTTAATTTTAACTTTATATAAAAAATATAAGCTTAAGAAGGTAACATTTCAAAAAGCGTAACACCTTTAAGAAATCGAATTAAGATTTGACAGCAGGCGTGGACACATACTCGAATTTCCAATAAAAAGTCTCCCGTTACCAATTAGCATTTCAATGTAGTGAATGATCAGAACCAATAATTTCTCAAAATATTTTGACATAAAATACAATATACTATCTGTACGAGATAGATGTTATAGATATGGAATCATCTAATTAAATATTAGATATATATATACCAGAGTTTAGTGAATTAAGATATAAATATTGTCTTACTTTCACAATCACACTTATTATTGAAGTTATAATTTTTTAGTGTTTAAATTTATTTTGTCCGATAATTTAAATCATTAAATTTCTATAATATATATTATACCCGTAGTTGATATTATATCGAATCGGTGCCAAAGAAAATTTGTATGTTCTTTACTTCTTTTTGCGAAAAATCAATGACAATGCTGGACGGTTAAGCTTCACTTCCACATTGCTTCACTCCACATCGTGTTTCCGTACGTCTTCAATTTTCCAGCAATCTTTTCCGAGCAGCACTGCTGTTACGGCCGTGGGCGGTAACGCAAGTCTCCTTTTACTCGCAGGATTCTCCGCGGTATTTTCCTTTGCCAGCAAATTGGACTATTACGCTCCTAACTCTCATACCTCAGAAACGCGTTTTCGTGAGAACCGCGTATTTCTCGCCTATCTACTACGTATTTGGGAGTTCACACTACGTTCTACTTCCATTCCTATTTTTCTTCTTTTGCTTTTTTGTTATGTTCTTTTTTCTCTTTCTATCTTTGTCTTTTACACAAAATTCTTCACAACTCAAAGTACTACACAGTTGTTAAAACAACCAATTCTGACGGAAAGCTTCTTGTTACTAGATATTCGTTGTTGTCACGAGCAGCTTCTATGTGTTTGACATGAAAAAATTTCAAACATGCAAAAGAAGACATCGTGCTTTTGTCAAGAAATGTAGAGATTGTTTTGTCTGTAATTAATACAGTACGTATAATTGTGTATAGTTAATGATATTATTACAATTTTTAATACTATTATTGGATTCATTGTTTGTTTTACATACATGTAATTTACATATAAATAAAACACACACACACACACACACGTTGAATAGTATGTCTTATATTACATTAAACTGCAAGATATGATCATAATAGCGCTTATTACTTTGCGTATTATTTCAGTACTACTTTTGTTGTGTTACAAACATTTGTTATATATAGTATATTGCGAAGTTTTCACTTCTATATGTATAAATGCTTCTTGTTGAGTTATATGCGTCTTTTATGCTGTTTTGCAAGATGCAAGTATGCAACGAGATTTTTTTCAGTCTTTTTTTAGAGTTTTCCCATAAATACACAATTGCTTTCAACTTCGATACGACTATTTAATACTATAATGTAACGTTATAAATATTATGTTAGTTTATCTTATAGATTGGTTACGCTTGCATCTCGTTTTTATACTTGAAACTGTATCATGAAAAAGGAATATAAATAGAAAAGATTTGAGAAACTACAAACATATACACAACAACATAATGTTTATTAATAATATAGCCACTATTATTTAAATTACTCAATTTGCAAAAGAAAACAACAAGAATTTATCTTCGCACATATTATTGTAGTATTTATTTTAAACTGATTTTGTATAGAAACAAATCACAAATACCTATATGAATTGAGTTTTTACTTTTGTAATCATCTAAATTTAATAAGTAGATCACGTTTTTATTAATAAAGTACAATAGCTAGTTTCCAAGAAATAAGGAGGTGCTTTGTTAGAAGATCTATGTCAGATTTTCATCTATTTGTACTTTAATTATAAATAGTAGATACTATTTGGTGAGAGAGAGAAACTAATCCGAATTGCACTGATAATTTATTTAAATTCACTAATATATTCCGTAGATACTGATTGCTTTTTCTAAATTTCAAGCCTTTCACTGCATATCTATATTATTTTAATATATGTATTATATATTATTATACAAGTACATTATATAGTTGTACGATATCTATTTTTTATTTACTAAGATTTTACTTAATATATATATAACTAGAGCTGCATTATTAACGTTTATCATACCTGAAACACGTTATTGCAAGGAATCTGTACTTTTAGACAGACCAACGATTGCCCCATCGAAAGGGGCTGCGCGCTGTGGAGCGTTTAGAGGAGTGCCAGAAGCATTCCCGTACTCCAATCCAATCATCTCGTTTCCTCTCGTATCGATTTCATCGTCCGCTAGAAATTTCCTCCGTGAAAAGAAATGTACAAGACAGCTGGAGAGGGGAGGACAAGCGACGGAACAGGGAATTACGGCGGTAACTCGCGAGACGGACGACGAGGAGAGAATAAAACCCGGTTTCTATAAACGATTTTGAAATTGTGTGCGTCTCGGCACGACTAGAAGCCCGAACCGGGGGTAGTGGGACAAAAAGGAGGCGGAAGTGCGCGAGTAGCTAGGAAGGGACGGCGAAAATCGAAGTTGAGAGTCGGCGTAAGACATAGAAAGCGTAGTAGGGACATGGCTCGTATTTTTCTTCTATGAAAAATTAAGTGCGTTCAACCATGAAGGAGTTCGTGCCTGATTACTAGCATCGCTTGAATATGGGAGCCTTGCCAACATTTTCCTCGTACAAATGGTTTCCGTTCTAAAAACCTATTCTACACATACAATATTTGTTTCAATGTGTTTTTTAGATCTATAAATCTATATGCCTCGCGCGATATGAAGTTGATTCAATCAGCGTTGTAGAGAAATAAAATAAGCCATCTTTTATTTTTTAAAAATATACATAAAATAATTTAATAATTCTAAGACAAGTATAATAATTTCCTAAGACACGTCTATGCCGTTCAATTTATTTACTTGGATAGTTCCGTACAAGAACTATACATATATGTTCTAAAAAATAACATTGTAAAATTTATCAACAGCGAAAAATACATTTTGGTCAAGTAACAAGCGAGTTAAAGTCAGAAGGTGATTTTATAGAAGTGAAATCTTTTGAATCTGATTTTCTGCTGTGTGTCATTCCTTTTGTTTTTACTCTCTTTTTCTTGGTCACCAGTGGTTGATTGTAACGGTAATAACAATTTGAGATACGAGAGCATGCTTTCGTTTGCAGCACTTCCTTTTTATTCGTAAACTTCGTCGAGGGAGAAAATATCATAACACATATTAGAGACGGAAATATAAGATATTATAAAGGGAACAAAAAGAAAGAATAGGAGAAAAAGAGATGTAGCTAAAAAAGAGATGTAGCTGAAAAAGATAGAAAGATATATACTGGGGAATCTACAGGGAAAACAATGACATTAATTAAATTTAACATGCGCATTGAAATTACCCTTAATTAGTAACACCATTACTGAGAATATTTTCGTATCTGCGTGATAATTT